TTGAGAGTCGTATTCAGGGGGAGAATTCTATTGTAGAAAGTTTTAATCAAGAAGATAATGTTGGACATTTAGATAAATCAGACTTGAAAAAGTGTATTTGTTGGATATTATTCTACCCAAAAAAGATACAAGTGTTATCATCCACCATTTAAAAAATACTTTGTAACTATAGATGTTACCTTCAGGGAGAATGAATCTTACTTCAACTCAAACCCAACACCTCTTCAAAGGGAGAGTGAGAAGGAAGAAGTGATACCTTATTGGGTAACAATTGAGAGTCATATTCAGGGAGAGAATTCTATTGTAGAAAGTCTTAATCAAGAAGATAATGTTGGACATTTAGATAAATCAGACTTGAAAAGGTATTCAAGGAGAGAAAAGTCTGAAAAAATCATCATGCAGTCTGTCCCAGGTCAAGAATCTTCTCTGCTTCCAGAAGATACTGGTGAGTTATCTTTCTCTTATGATTTATTAGACAAACCTGTTGCTGTTAGAAAGGGAATAAGAACTTGCATTAAGCACTCAATATCTAACTTTGTTTTCTATGACTATCTATCTCCCTCCTATAGAGGTTTTGTCTTATCTGTTTCTTCTATGTCTATTCCACAGGATTGGAGAGAAGATTTAGAAGATCCCAAGTGGAGGAAAGCTATGATTGAAGAAATGAGAGCATTGACAAAGAATGAAATATGAGAACTCGTTTCACCTCCACAGGGAAAGAAGATAGTTGGTTGCAAATGAGTGTTTACCGTAAAATACAAAGCTGACGGATCGATCGAAAGGCACAAAGCTAGATTGGTGGTTAAACAATTTACTCAGATTTTTGGGATTGACTATCATGAGACATTTGCACCTGTTGCAAAAATGAATACAATTAGGATACTTTTGTCTTGCGCAACTAATCTTGATTAGGATCTACAGCAGTTTGATGTAAAAAATGCATTCCTCTATGAAGACTTAGAGGAAGAGGTGTACATGAAAATTTTATTTGGATTTGAAGATAAGAGAACGCAAGAAAAAGTTTGCCAATTATAAAAGGCCTTATACGGATTGAATCAATCTTCAAAAGTATGGTTTGAATGGTTTAAAAAAGTTATGATCCCTTTTGGATATCAATAAAGTAATACGGATCATACCTTATTTATCAAACATCATGAGGGTAAAAACATTCTTTTCGTTGTTTATGTGGATGATATTGTGGTGACTAGAGATGACTCAAAGGAGTAAACTTGGTTGAAGGAACTTCTTGCCAAAGAGTTTGAAATAAAAAATTTAGGAAAATTGTAATATTTCTTGAGAATTGAAGTTGTCAGATCCATGAAAAAGATTTTTATTTCTCAAAAGAAGTATATCCTATACTTACTATAAGAGGCTGATATGATGGATTGCAAGTTGGCAGAATCACCTATTGAGAGCAACCACAAATTGCAAGTAGGTAGTGGTAAATTAATTGACTTGGAAAGATAACAGAGATTAGTTAGAAGACTCATTTATCTCTCACATACTAGACCTGATATAACATTTGCAATTTGTCTTATGAGTCAATACATGTATGATTCTTGTGAGACTCATTTACATGTTATCTTCCACATATTACGATACCTGAAGTCTGCATTAGGAGAAGATCTATTTTTTTTTTAAAATGGTCACATTAAAATAGAAACATTTACAGATATCAATTGGGTTGGATCCCAAGATTATAGAAAATCAACTACAGATAACTGCATACTTGTAGGAGGTAACTTAGTCACATGAAAAAGTAAGAAATAAAGTGTGGTTGCCCGCTGCAATGCTGAAGCAGAATATAGTGTAATGACTCAAAAAACATGTGAATTACTATAGTTGCAGAAGCTAATGAGGGAGTTAAAACTGCTTAAAGATGAAAAACTATCCCTATTTTATAACATAAAGCAGCAATTAACATTGTTATAATTTAGTTCTAACGAGCAGATGATTGACATTTTCATTAAAGACTATGTAACAAATCTCTTC